GCACAACTAAGGGCTGCCCTTTAAATATTCTCCCACCTGAGCTGTGGATGCTGCTGCTCTCATCTTCTTCTTTGGTTAATAGTGTCTTTACTCAGCCTTTTAGTTTAGTCACTCTAGCAATACTCTTTCTATTTATAGATGGTTGGAATATTTAGGAAATTCAAAGTAAAGGTAAAAAAAAAAGCCACAACTTTTAGATTTTTGTTTGACGAAACATTTTAAATACCAATAATTGTTCTTTTGTTTATTATTGTGTACTGCTTTATGTTGGTCTGTCACATAAAAACTCTAAAAATCTGGAAATACTTTGAAGTAGAGATTCTGTTTGGCGTATTGACTGGATTTCCAGCAGCCATACAATAAATTAGTTCACTATTTTTAGGTGGAGTGCTACGACTACGACGACGACGGCTCGCATGATTTGATTGGATCCTTCGAGACGACGATGAAACGACTCCAGGATGCCACTCGAACCTCTCCGGTATGACTTAATTAATTTTTAGCAACGTTCTAAATTACCGCTCTGATGGTTAGGAATGCTTGTAGAACAAGTCTGACTGACGTTATCGAAGCGCTAATGAAAGCCTAAACAGGTAGAGTCGGATGTTTCAGGATTCCATCTGATGAATCTCCATCCGCTGCTTCAAAGAAATCATTTCGTTCATTTTTCATTTTCAAGTTTTACAAAATACCACCCCAAGTGTAATATAGAAGCAAACCTTTCCAGCTGCCTCTGTTGCTTTGCTGCTCTTGTGCTAAATTCACTGCCGTCATCTCGTTCCACAGGCAGAGTTTGAATGCATCAACAGCAAAAAGAAACAGAAGAAGAAAGGCTACCGTAACTCTGGTATTGTGAGCGTGAAGTTTTGCCAGGTTGGGTACCAGCTTCTTTTTTTAATTGCTCTGCTGTATGGAAGCTGGAATTTCAGATGTTTATAAGACGGATTCACTTTTTCCTTGTAGGTTTTGAAGGAGTATACATTCCTGGATTATATAATGGGAGGCTGTCAGATCAACTTCACTGTGAGTTTGAACTCCTTTGCCAAAAATCACGTTTTTATTTCTCTGTTGTTCCCTCTCTGACAGAAGTTTGTATTTTTGTAAGTTTGTAAGTTCATCTTTGAGTTATTTCAGGCTGTGAGCATTTTTTAACAGTTCTTTTTCCAAGCTGATTGTTACAAAAACAAAACAACTTCTTAAAAACAAAATTTGGAGATACATTGTTGTAGCTGGATGTTTAACTGCTCATCAAAATGCCAGCATCAGTAGAGTTTAGTTTCTAGCATATTTGATCAATTCCTAAAGGGTTTTAAATGTTTAGCTGTTAAATTGAGGTGAAGAATTTGGAATTGCTCCTTAAACAGACCCTCAGCATAATGCTGCCACCACCATGTCTGGAAATCGTTTCATTGGAAGACACACCCTGATTCTTACAGATATATATATATATATATATATATATTTATCATGATGGCCCAATAAGCTCCTTCTGATGTTTAACTTCCTTCACTGTAGGTGACGCTGAGCTGCTAGTTAATTATTGAGCTGGCTGAACCTTGGATGTTCTAGTGGGTTGTTTCTTAACAACTTAACCGAATATTCCTCATCTTAGATGGAAACTCTGGGTCAAAAAGGGAAATAGTGGTTGAAACTGGATGTTTTACCAGCTCAACAATCCCAAAAACTTAAAAACTCTTTTTTTTTTTTTTTTTTTTATGAGTCAAACAGATTAACATTTGCCTTCTGCAATGCCCCTAACCTCCACCAGGTTAAAAAATGATGGAGTGTTCCTTTATTTTAATGTTTATCTATTTATTGTTATTTATAAAAAACAAGATAAATAATCATAATAAATGAATAGATACAAATAAATAAAATACGGAAAAATTTAAGGATTGCTTCTTTACTTTTTAATGAAAAAGCTAGATGAATTGATAGATATAATAAACAACATATATATATATATTTTTTTTTTTACATTTATTTATCAAATTTAATTAAATAGAATAGCTAAACATGTAAATACATAAAAAAGAAAAGGCCTATAGTTAGTTTTTATTGTTCTTTACCTGAATAAAAATATTAAAGACATTAAAATGAATAAAAACATAAAATACAGCTAAAGACTGCTCCATTATTTTTATTTATTTGTATGAAATAAAATAGAAAAATAATTAAATAGATTAAATATATTTAAAATGAGACTGTACTTAGTTTAAACGAGCTCTACCATTTCTGATAAACCAGATGTTCCAGTTTTGATCCGGAAAGATGACAGAACATTTTTGATGACCTAAAAAAAAGGTCCAAATTGCAAAGGGACATTCAGCCATGCAGATGTGTGAGTTAAGTCTCTGTTAAGTTGTTTATTTACAGCTTAAATAAAATAGAAATAAATGTGCTATTTAACCCTGACCCTGCCTATTAGCAGACATGAACTCTTTTCATGCCTCCATCTTTTTCCCACAGGTGGCTGTTGACTTCACCGGCTCTAACGGAGATCCTCGGTCTCCTCAGTCCCTGCATTACATCAGCCCTCAGGGCGTTAACGAGTACCTCTCTGCCATTTGGTCTGTGGGCAACGTCATTCAGGACTACGATGCGTAAGAACATCTCTCTACATTAAGATTAGTTCCTTTCTTCATTAAAAATAAATATAATTTTCCATCCCTTTAAACTCAGAGAGAAACAGACAGAAAAATCCATCCCGTTCGATGTGGTGCAGCAGCTTGCAGGTTATCCCAGGTTTTACCAAAGTTTGTCTCCTTTTTTCCAGTGATAAGATGTTTCCTGCATTCGGCTTTGGAGCCCAGATTCCACCGTCCTGGCAGGTAAAGCTCACCTTGAAACGTGATATGACAAACATTTTGAAAACGTCTGACTCTGTTGTCTTATCAGATAAAAATGTGCTTGTCCACGGACACTTAACGTTGGAAACTGATGATATCCTTTTACAGGTTTCCCACGAGTTTCCGCTCAACTTCAACCCAAGCAATCCGTTTTGTGCAGGTGTGTAACTTATCTTTGAAGCTTAATTTATACAGCAGGCGTTGGGTTTCCTTTTAGTCATGCTGGATGTGGCGTTGTGACGCAGGTGTTCAAGGGCTGGTGGAGGCCTACAGGGCGTGTCTCCCACAGGTCAAACTTTACGGTCCCACCAATTTCTCCCCAATCATCAACCATGTAGCCTGTTTTGCTAAACAAGCCCTTCAACAAAACACTGCATCGGTGAGTAGGCCAAACATTACGTCACACACATATTCCTCGTATGAATCAGTTTAACTTCGTGACTTTCACATTTCATTTGCCCAAAAACAGTTTTTACTTGCCCAGTATAATGTTTGATAAATATAGTTCCTAATATTCATTTTTGTATATATCTCAATGAATCATGTTTGTTTTTTAAATGTTTTTTGTAATTCAGTACTTTTTTAAGTTTCCAGGTTCCTGGTGTGTATATGCATGCGTCAGATAATGAACTCAAGCCTACATTACTGTGTTAACATGCCTTTCAATCCTTCCTGCACATTCTTTTCAAACTAAACTTTGCTTTAAACTGTTGTGTGCTTGGAAAAGTATAAATTGTAATGTTAAAAATCTAAAAAAAAAAACTTGACCGTTTAAAAGCTTAAGATAAATCACAAGACAGAAGTCAATGTCACAAATGAATAACTTTTATTTTAGAGTCACGGTATGTTTATACAAGATAATACTATTAATATAATGTGACTTTTCTAGAGAATCATTATACATAGTTATTTTATACAGGGTTTCCACATAATTTTAGAATTCCCTGACTTTTAACTGACTCAGGATTAGTTTTCCCTGACAAAATAAATGCAGCAACAAGACAATAATAATAACCTAACAGGTCACCAATTTAACATGTTTAGCTCTATAACATTTAAATGCACCTCTCCAATGTCTAAGAGAAAAAAATTAATGAACATTTTTTAATGTATGACCACTGTACTGAAGACTGCCATGTAATAGCCACTGTGCGCATGGCATAGAATTATTCAAATTTTCCTAATCCCTGACAAATAATTCTTAATCTAGGGTTATCTGGGTGGTGGGTGAAATGGGTGGAGGGTAAAATAGCCTAGTTGTTGTTTTTTAGCCTGCCAAGTCGAAAAAAATGTGTCTGATTCGCCCCAGACAAAAATCCTCGGACAAAAATCACGCCATCTGGTGGAAAATCACGGCACTTTTTGAAATCACGCCAGAATTGTGTACAAAACAACAAAAATGGCGCCGGCAACGCCTGTGGATCGTTTTCAGCGAATGTCGGTGATTTTAAAGTAATTTGGAGTGATAAATAATTATTTTTTGCGATCACTGCACCCGCCCGCTGGTCAAATGCAATGAAATTTGTTCTCTCCCAACAATAAAAACTACTTGCCACAGGAGATCGGGCAATGGTTAACATCGAGCCCTGTATGGTGTATTCCTTAGGAAAAAATAGCAGCTGATCACTGTTTCCTTCAGTAAAGGCACAATAAAAATGCTAATATTTTAAGTATTTTAACCTTTTTGCACTTTACTATCCTATTTAACAAGAAGTAAAGGAGTTAATAAAGCGGCAGGCTAAAAAATACACAAACCTCTCCCACTGATATTATGTTGAACGTCACTTAACAAGACGAAACTCGATAAAATCCTGCTTTTGATAGACAAGCTTCTGGCATCTGTACACACTTCATTAAAGCTGGCTGCGTTTCTGACACAGACTTGTCTTTGAAGCATACTTGGTGAATGTTCAATATGTTTGAGGGCAGGGCTGTTCCAGAAGCCTCATTCTTGCCTCCTTTCTTATGTATTGGATTGACATCCTCTTAAAAAAACAAATGTGTGGGGAGGGTGGGGGGAGATGGGAAGTCTGTGTAATGAATGGAGAAAGGGGGTAATGTGCTCATGTTTCTGCACTCTCATCAGGATCCTAGCTGCAGACTTTTGAATGTACAGAAGCCTCTGCAGACTCTTTCCCAATGAGAAGTGCGTTGCAATAGTCCAGTCTGCAGGAGACAAAGTGATGAACCAGCTTCTGGGAAGGAGAGAATGAGTTTGGAAATGTTACGGAGGTGGTAGAAAGAGGTCTTGCATAGGTGATTTCTATAGCTCAAGTCAAACACACCTTTGGGTCTTCTTCCGATTGTGTTGTCCTTCCATTAAGTTTCTTAATTCTGGTAGATCGAAGATTGGCCGATACTACCTTTGCAAAAGTCAACAATCAATGCTCTAAACTTTGACTTCGATTTGCGACATTTGAGAAGTTTTTATAGTTTCACAGGTGGTGATCAATGTTTTTTAGTGAGATAAGATTGATTTATTAAAGGTGTCTTGTGATCATATAACAACTGACAGTTCTAAAAAATAAATCCTTAATGGTCAAAATTTGGAATCGCCATGTCAGGCTTTTTAAAGATTAGGAATCGGTGGTTGGAGAGAAACCTGCAATCGATTGAACCCTAATTTCAACCCTTTCTATGACCTAAAGGGTAGATTATACTTCTGCAACTGCACACATCAAATGTCGCTTTTTATTTAGTTACATTTCAGAAAATCTACAATACATTAAAACTTTTTGTCTAATTCCTGGATGTTAAAGTAGGTCTGGTTCTGCTGGAGGTTTCTTCCTGTTAAAAGGGAGTTTTTCCTCTCCACTGTCGCTACAGGCGTGCTTAATGTGAGGGATTGCATTTGAGTCAATGAGTCGATGCAATCAACTGGTTTTCCTTAGATAGAAAACTTTGAATCAATTTCACTGTATGATCTGGTAAACCGTGATAAAATAAAAAATAAATAATAAAGGACATTTATGTCTATGATGAATGTTTTCAAACTTGCTTAATTATAACTTCCTATGGAGTAAGGATTTATGAATGGCTTCATCCAAACCAACACAACCTTATCCATTCTGCAGCAATACTTCGTCCTGCTCATCATCACCGACGGAGTCATCACCGACATGGACCAGACGCGCAACGCCATCGTCAACGCCTCCCGCCTGCCCATGTCCATCATCATCGTTGGAGTGGGAGCGGCGGACTTCAAGGCCATGGAGTTCCTGGACGGAGACGATGGCCGTCTACGTTCCCTGTCCGGCGAGGCCGCCATGAGGGATATCGTCCAGTTTGTCCCCTTCAGGAATTTCAAGAACGTGAGTCAGCCATACTCATCACATCTCGCCTCTTCTTTCCATTCCTCTCTGCTTTTCAGTAGATAAAATACGGAAAGGTGTTTACTATGGTTTCAGCTGACGCAACTTGTTTTGTTCCGTTGGAAGAAGCTAACCCATTTCCATAAAAACTGCATGGATTTCACGCGGATCATTGTTGATTGAACTGACCTCTAAATAGTAGCGGCAGAGCAAAGTCTCCACTCCACCTTGTTATACCTCAAACTGATGGATGCCATGCCCTTCAGGACAGAGCTCCATTAGTTTCTGTTTACGTTTCTTCATCTGTTTTTCAGGCGCCCAGCCAGGCTCTTGCCCAAAGCGTTTTAGCCGAGTTGCCTCAGCAAGTAACCTCTTTCTTCGCCTTACACAAACTGAAGCCTCCCCGAGATCCAAGTCCTTCTTAGGGGTACACTTAACTATAATAACTCATTAAGCCCTAATTCTCTGCCTCTATGAATAACCACCTCCCGTGCTTTTCAGACCTGTTATCAATGTTTGTTTCGGCTGATCTGATCGCATCTCTTCATATCAGGCACTAAACTTATGTTTTACATGCTTCTAATTTCGAACTATTATTAATCTTTGTTACCTGCCTTGGAATACTTCATGAACTTTGCATTTTTTTGATTCAGTTCAACTCATTTCAGTTCATATAGCACCAATTCACAACACGTTGGCTCAAGGCACTTTTTTAAAGAATGAATTCAAATCATCCAGAGAAATCGGTTGAAAGTTATTTTATTAAAGTTAATTGGGTGAGTCATTGGCTTCTGGATTTGCTCCTCCTGGATGAGCATGTAGTGACAGTAGATATTCGCTTGAATTTTGTCGTTAACTCTACAGCAACCCCTTATACTGAGCATGCACGCTGCAACATGCAAATCACCCTTTCAACGGGTAGAAACCCCGGGCAAAACGATGGTACAAAAACAAAAGGAACATAGAAGCACTGATGCATAAATATTTGTATATGTATATGTCAGAAACGGTAACAGTAAAATAGCTCCATAGGTGGGCCTGTCTAGGAAAGAAACAGTTGACCACATGAGCTTTGAGCTATTTTTCATGCCAAAAGTGTTTACAGAGCAGAGTTAGACAGAGTAGAAGTTGAGCCATTAGCTGTCTAGTAGAGAAAAAGTACTAAACACTGAAAAACAGACCCAACCTTATTATCAATTAGCTGCTATGATGAGAAAAGGCATAGAGAACATAAAGTTAAAAATTGAGCTAACAGATAACACAGAATTGGAGAGTGGAAGCAGAATGAAGCAGAATTATGAAAAGTGGTCTCTATGTCTTCCAGCAGTCTAAGCCTATATCAGCATAACTAGGATAACCAGAGCCACTCTTATCTTTTCACATTTCATTATTTCAAAACAAAGGTTGGTAGTTTTATTTATTTTTAGAAAACTTTAATAATTGCAGGGAAAGTAAAAAAAAAGGTTAGAAAAGTGTCCCGAGTGTAAAGCGTAGCAAGTATTTAACTTCAGGCCCTATATTCAGTTAACCCGGCAAAACCCAGATTTAAACTGTACCTGAATTCAAAGTGAAATACACAGAGCGATCTGGGAAGGGTCCTACAGAAATTGTTCTCAAAAGGGAATCAGCAAAATTCTTTGAGCTAATTGGATACCTGCATCACATGTCAATTTTCTAACCAATCACAGCAGCAGCTTCATTTGTTTGACAGTTAACATGTATCTGATTAACCAAACTCTAACCAAATCTGTTTGGGGGAAACGCACAAATATCTTTCCATCAACAAAGAGAGAAATCGCTTCCTTTTGCTCATTCAAAAAGAAATGGAGGGTATTTCCCCTAAAACCGTCGCAGCCATGTTTGTTTTGCTTCCGCCTTCCGCCTCTGTTTGAAATCATTTGCATTTTATCGGTCTGAAATATTTCTGTATCCAGGCTAAAGCTTCTGCTGGCTCCTGGCGAGATGCATTCTCTATAGTTTGAGAATTCACAAATCTTGTGATATTTCATCTTGCTTGCAAGGTAATTACTATAGCTGTTAATAAAACCCAGTGCGACCATTTGCTTTCAGAACCCATTGGTGTTTAATTAGTGTGTAAAACTGTTCTGCCAATGCTTTTCAGGTTATTTATGTATCAATTTTCATTTAGATTTATTTTTACAGGGAGAGTACAATTAATTGCCATTTGTAGGTTAAAGTATGCAGCGCACAAAGGGCTTCTAACCAAAGGATAATCCATAGCCCACGTCCATAGTTATGCTATGAAATATTAGTGACCAAACAGGATCGTAAAAACAAAGGATTTCAGTTTGTTATCAGAAAATGTCTCCAAAAAAATCGGCGGAGGCCAGACAAAGAGAGATCCACAGCTTAGGTTGGAAATCTAGTGATAATGGGCAATGTACTCTACAAACCTGTCCTCTATGGAAGAAGGCAAAGTAAATCATTAAAGAAAGACATTACATTTTCTGGTTGTTTGAGCTACTTCCTAGAATTTCTTGGTGGAAAATTGTTTATTACCCCAAAACACCAGCAGCTGTACCTCCAGCAAAAAGGTCTTCTACAAAGTACTGACTTAGGGTCGAATTTGGATTCGTCCTTCTCCTAGATCTTAGTTTCAACTCTCAAGAACAGGTGTTTTTCTTTATCATCTCCATCCACTTTTGATCTGATCAGCCGAAATAAATATGAGCTCAGGATCTGAAAGCGTTCTCACTTGAAACTTCAAATAGGAATTTCCTAACTATGATCACTTTGCTGTTCTTGAACATCTTCATTCAGATATTTAGTGTCTGTTGCAGAAGATGGGGTTTGAAATTGACACCTCATCCCTTCTAATGAGATGTTATAGAATATCAAGAAAATCTTCCTTTCAGCTGCTTTCCTCTGCATGGCCTCCTGCTTGTCTCTCATTCATCTTTGCATTTTCATTATGTCCTAATGACTCAAGTTACATCATCATGGTGTTTGGTTTTACCTTAAAAAATAAAAATCTCCCCTTCCATTTAGGCTCCTCCTGAGGTCCTGGCAAAGAGCGTGTTGGCTGAAATCCCGGCTCAGCTAGTAGACTTTTTCTCCACCATGAAGCTAAATCCACCAAACCCGACAGGGACCAAGTGATGCCGTAAAGAAACCTGACTGACTCCTCTCTCATCTCCTGCAGACCTTTATAAGGTTCCAGCTTCATCTTATCCTAGATTTACACAGAACTTTCCTAAAATACCCGCCTTCCTGTCTCATCATCTCAAGCCGCAGCATTATCATGTTTTTATGACGGCAGCTGTTGTTAACATTTGTTTCTGCTCATTTATTTCACGAGTTGAACAAAGAGAACCATCCCATTATTTTGTGCATAACGTTACGCTTTTAACTCAGCTCAGTTAGGAATGTAATCATTGCAACAGAAGCTCAGTGTCAAACCTGTAGTTATAATAATCCTGTTATGATGCAGGATCTCTGTTTGCTTGTCGATTAACTATATTGCTGCTTTAAAGGAGGTCAGACACTGATGTTTGACATACAGTCTGGCTCAGAAGCCTCCGCTACTAATTGATGCCAAACGTGCTTTATTAAATTAAGGACCAGATCCTGTGCCGATGTAGGTACCGGATCTGCTCATGGCCCTGCCCCTTCTTGTGACGTCATCATATGCCAACTCCGCTCTGACAAATGTATTAAACTCGTTTTATTAAGGATCTACCGTAAAATCCGGACTATAAGCCGCTACTTTTTTCCCGCTGTTTGAACACTGCGGCCTATAATACAGTGCTGCTAATACATGTTTTTTTTTTTCATGGAGCGAAAAACAGACCAATAAAATTGATGAGTATTCACAGAGGTCCAATGAAAAAGTGCGATACATTATTCTCACTTTCACAGTTATTTACAGTCTTGTAAATCAGTCATTTTCGGAAGGCTTCGGTACGCAGGAGGAAGAAGAAAGTGATTAATGACTTTTCCTGGTCGGCTGCAATGTTAAAAGTATTAAAAATACCGGTATATGCAGCTGTATTTGCGTGTTACCGACACATACGTATATTTAAATGTGTTACAGGGTAGTTTAAAAAAAAAAAAGCATTCATAATATGTACCGTATTTGTTTTTTTATCTTACGGATTAATCAAACGTTAAAAAATGCTCACGTGTAATATCTTTATTTGTAAATATCTCATACAACGTGGGAAACCTGCGGCTTAAAATCCGGTGCGGCTTATAAAAGTACAAAATTGATTTTCTTTCTAAAATTAGAGCGTGCGGCTTGTAATCAGGTGCGCTCTATAGTCCAGAATTTATAGTAATCTCTTTTGGAGTTTCAACATATTATTACCTACATTTGCTATTATTTTACATTTCGTCTGCAATCTAAACAGACTTAGACTTAGACAGTACTTTATTGATCCCTTGGGAAGACTCCCTCCGGAAATTAAGGTTACCAGCAGCTTACAGGGCAAAAAAGTATTAAGTTAAATTAAGGTAAAGGGTTAAGTTAAAGTAGCTGAACGTAGAAAACAATCATTCTCAGTCTTGAAGGAAAACACTGCCTTCTAAGACAGACTGAGCTCTGCCATTCAACAAGGTGACGCAAAAAGTCGCAGTTTATTTTTATTCTTTTTATTAAGATCTGAGGGCAGGAAGGGCAAATGGAACATCTCAAAAATGACTTTTGTAGAGATTTTAGAGAAAGAAAACAGTTATTCTACTTGTAGAAAGCGAATGGTTGCTGTTGATACAAATTCAAAAGTAGTGTAACTTAATATGGCTAACTGACCGAGCTAAAAGAGGCTAACCTGTTAGCTTCTGAGCACAGCTAGCTGTAGTGCTACTCAGCTCTCCCGCTTTATAACATGGCCTCGCAGTTACTTTGTTCACCATAAACAGATTTTTTTTCAGTCGTGTTATCGATCAAGTAAAACTTCATCGGTCATTAGACACGCTAACGGACGCTGCGTGATGTTAGCATCGTTGTCCTGGCAACCACTATGTTTTACATCATGTGGCAACGTTCAGCCGATCATGTAGCGTAACGTTACCTACATGCTCAGGGCCTTAGCAGATCTGGTACCTACACCGCCACTTCAGACTCTTCCTCCTCTCCATCTGTGTGGACGTGCCGAACTGCTTCCATGTAGTTGGGAACATGAGAAGGCTTGTTTTTTATCAAAATAATAATAAAAAACACCTACTCCATTATGCTTCTCACACATGGTTCCTGACTTGTGGATGTTTGTTGCTATTGATTCTCCTCTTTAGCTTGTTTTGACCACATTTGTCCCAATTGATTCCTCATTTTTGCATTTAATCTGCAGGTAATTCATCTAAATTCAAATAAGATTTTAGTCTCAACTTTAAAGTAGCAAAAACTAGAAGGATAGCAATTAAACATGGGCCTATTTTCTTACATTCAGATACCTTCCACAATGAATCTGGTGTAGCGCAGTATTTTTGTCACCATGTGACATTGGAGCCCATTTATGGAAGTATACATCTAGCTCACCACGCGATAAATAAAAGTCCACTTAAAAAAAAAAAATCTAAATACGTATCAGTGTAAAAACTCAAAATGGTAATTGTTTATTTTAAATGTAGATATATATTTGTTTTATGGGACAAAAAAATAAATGGAAAAACTCCTCATGACTCTCCAGACCTTCTACAGTCTAAGATTTTATACAATAAAATAAATGCTTTAAGTAATAGACTTGAGTTTAAAAACAGAAATGATATAATCTATTAACAGAGTAGAAAATAAGCCAGTTTTTCAATGCATTTCTTGGATTTACAGAACCTCAAACAAACCACTGTTTAATAGATAACATAAATGCATTTTATATGTTTTTATTTTTACTTTATCCTCCCCATTAACAGTTTCCATCACCCTTCTGGTCCTTTAGCACACTGAAAACCAGTTTAACCAATAACAGATGCTCCTCAGATATTACCAGCTCTCTCATTGGTCATTATGTCAACCAAGTGTGGCAGACTAGCCAATGAGAGAGCTGGTTAGAAATCACAAAGGATTTGAAAAAGCAAGCTGAAAAAGAAAATGAAAATAAAATAAGGAATTCCATTTTCACATTTTAGAAAAGTTATTTATAAACAGAATTATAAACTTTGGCGTATAAATCTGCATTTAGAAATAGGATTTGGAAATGCATTTTCAAACTGCAATAATGGAATAAGAAAAGCAATTTACAGTTCCTCGTTAATAATTCAATAAAAAAAAAAAAAAAAAAGGGATTTCTAATTGTATGATTTAAATGTTTAATTTGAAATGCTTTGTTTTTATTTTTCAGTGACTATGTCCCCCATACTGCACTAGTAAACTCCAAAATTGTATATCTATTTTAAAAAAAAGATAATTTTTCCCCATTGTATTCCTATGCATCTATCATATATTAAATTAACATTGTTTAGGCCGCTTATATATTGGGTTATTATACCACTTTTTAATATTTTGCTTTTTCTCATCCCTAAACTAACAGTATTATAAAAGCCATTACTCTTATAACCAGTTACAGTAGCAATTATGGAAACACATATTTGTAAGAAATGTTTGTATTTTGTTATTTTTTTATGTTGCCTTTGATCATCAGATCTATTTGATGACTTCTGTTTTAATTCCAGCTGTTTTGCACTTAAATGAGTCATGGATGATGTGCTAATAAAACATGTAAAGTTCTGACCAAACAGTGACTTTTATTACAGGCTGGATTTAGAGATAAGCTGCTGCCCCCTACTGGAGGGAAGGTGGTATGAAAGCCTCTTCAAATAAGGTCATTACAGGAAGGAACACTTTTGACATTTTCTATACACAGAGTGAATACAAAATGACATTTCGTTTAGTGCAGCTTTTCAGAGAGTAAATAAACATTTCCATTCCATAAAGTGCAGCAGTGATCATCTGCCATCTTAATGCCATAAGCCATCTTAAGAGAGGTCTGGTTGTTGTGCAACATCTTCATTTTTATATATATATTTTTTTTCAGGTTAAACTGTAAAAAAGAAATTAGATGCACATTAGAGATTTATTTAGCAATGCGACTTCAGTGCAGGGGGCTCTGCCCCTCCCAAGAAACACCCATAATTCTCAGAAAAGGAAAATCAATAAAAAATATAAAATTATGTAAGTTGCCAGATTAAAAATGTAGAATTGATCATATAGCTTCATACCTGACAAATATACTTTTTTTTTTCTGCTGATTTTAGATGCGACTTACTGCTTATTAAAATCCAATGACATTTTAAAACACCATTCTATAGTGGAAAGGTTTTAGAATAATAACGGAAGATTGCAGACTCTAAATTTGTCCATTATCACTAAACGCTCAATATAAGATCTGCCCAAAATTTGCATGGTTTTAAACCGCTTATTAAAATTCATTTTAGTTTAAATAAGGTCTGACCACAACCTACCTGTACCATTTTGTTTTATTTTAAATGTCTGAATTCATTCATGGTTTTATGAATTGTACAGCACTTTGGTGCAGTTCTTTATAAATAGAAAGAAGGTATAAAAAAGCACAACTACAGAATTTAATTTAAAGGCTTATATTTTAAATGCTTTGCTGTTGATCAAGAATTACACAATAAATTGATTTGCTTTATTTTTTGCCATTATTATTTAATATCCATTAACTTATTGACCATATTCTAATTTAATTGAGATGCACCTATATATTCTAACCCATGAAACACCTTAAACACTGTAATGGTCAAGTTTTGGTGTTGAAAATAAAGGAAATTTTAGGACACTGGCCGTGAGCCGGCTAACTACCCCAAACCAAGTAGCTCATATTTAAGAAATCTTAAACACTTGTCAACCAATTGCAAACTACAATAAAGTTATCAGATTTCATACTGAGATGCTAGCGACAGTTCCGCTTTGAGGCAATGTTTTTGATATAATACAGTTAACTTACAGCAGAATGCTAATATGGTAGAACAGCAGAAAAGAGGGGTTAAATACAGTAGTAGCCAAAAATGGACAGCAATGTTAAACAATTTAAGCAACAGTCAGCTCCTACTGATAAAATAAATCCACTGCTGATAGGTGTTCATTCATTTTATTAAATTAAATGTACAAAGACATCTTGTTCACTGATATCAGTTAACCTTGTAGCCCAGGACAGATTTATCTGCACCGTTAACCTGTTAACAGGCACTTGAACTTCTTTTATACAAAATAGTCCATTTCTGATGCCTTCCTCCACCTAATGAACGTCAGAGGTTTTGAACTCCGAGTGCAGCTCCTGGGTCAGTGTGCAGAAACTACTATGATCTCAGCTTGTCTAGACGGACTGAAATCCTCGACACTAGGAGCCTTTAAAGTCCAGATATCTCCTGTAGCTAAATGCATCCAGGACGTGGACGTAGGCTACATGCGGTGGATGCTGCTGTGATCCATGAACTGTTTCAGGTTGTGCAGGTTGTCCCACCAATTGAAGAGGAAGGTGTCGGCGATGAGGGCGAACCAAGGAGTCACCTCCAGCTCCTTGCGCTTGGCCTTTTCCAGCATCGCTTTCAGCTCCTCTTTACTCACGTAGCAGTGGCTTTTTATCTCGTTGGGATCTGGATTCAGCTCCACGTCCTAGAAAATGGAAAGAGAAGGTCTTCGATACTTTGCCAGAGAATAAAGACAACTTCAGCCTCTTCTAGTCACGTTAAAGCAAACAAACATAAGAATAGGTGTAGGTTAATTTGTAAATATAAGTCATTAAATATAATTATATTTAAGGTTTGTATTTGTTCTTAGCCTTCAAATCATTCATGCAACATCAGATGTTTAATTTGTGACAAAGAAGTACAAATTGCAATTTTACCAGTATGAATCTACAAAACTCCTGATGAGTCATCAACTGTATGGTTTTCATCCAGCCATCATTAAATGAGAAGTAGATGAAACAGAACCATCGATCAAACGTTATGTCTTTGCTAAGGTCTTGGTTTCTACGACGACAGCATAAGGGCCATTTAAAGACATGAAAAAAAGTTGGAATTAAAAGTTTTGAGTTTAGAGTGGCACATTTATGGGAATACAAACACAGATTGAAGACTAAACATAC